TTTTGCAAAGGAGTAGGCCCGGTAAGAGCCCTTTTTGTGCCCAAAATATAGCAATTTTACAAATTTGTTGAAAAATACACTTTGAGCTATTTATTGGAAAGTAGAATACTTCTGTTCCATAAATATGAGCTGTTTTTTTGACAATACAATGCACATGCATTTGGTACTAGCATTATAAAGTTATGCAAAGTTGCTGAAATATTCTCAATTATAGGATTTGTGCTTATTTAAAGACGGTTTTTGTCTAAAATGGAAGTGGCCGCATTTGTGTTCAGTCTTAAAATTCAAATATAAGTTGTATTAGTTGATAGTGAATAACATATATAAAGGTTGAGACTGAACACGAATGCGGCCACTTTGGTATATGAAATTTGTAATATAAATAAAATGATTGACAAGGACCTTGTAATATAAATTGTATTTTTTCTTTTGATGTTTTAATAAAATAAGTTGCTTAAAAAGTGTGTTGAGGGAAAACCATGGTATATTATCTGCCTCGTCCCCTTTGCAATTATGTATTAAAATGTGTTTAACAGCAAAATATAGCACTAACTAGTATTTTGATTATTGGGGAATATGTAAAACTGTGACATAATACATTACGTCCTCTTCAATTTTCAATTTCAAGACCAATTTTAGAGTTTGACCCTATGAGTGAATTAAGTCTGAGAAAATTGGCCTTGACTCTTTCAAAGACCCCCCCCCCCCTTTTTTTCCCCAAATAAAAGGAGAAAAGGGTGCATACATATGTACCTCATGCGCCTGTGTATGGAACGCCAAAGCTGTCTTATTATGCGATTATACGATTAGAACGATTACTGTCTACGTCATAACTGATTCTGATCTACTTCTCCGGAATTACTATAAACCCGGCTCAAATCTGTAGCTATCGTTTGGAAAATGGTAGAGATTTTAAAAGAGATACATCTTGGCACGTTGGTACCTCATTTTAAAGATGATCAAATCACATCTGAAATTGTTGGAAAATGTCAAAATATGAATTGCAAAGTTTAGGTTTAAGCGGTAGATCTACAGTAATGAACATACTGTTAAATTCATTAAATTGTGGGTCCTGTGTACTGAGCTCCTGGAGTTCAAATATTTGATCTACCAGAGGATATTCTGCATTTGTTTGTGAATGCCAGTTTACTGTTTCTGATCTAGTAGCTACAGCCTCGTATCAGTTTCAAAACTGAAAAAATGAGACAGTGCAATTTAACAAAAATTCAACGTTTCAAACATTTCGGAGGAAGATTTAGATCCATTAATACAAGAGCTAGTTAAAGAATTTTCCTGCTTTGGCGAAAAAATGATAAAACAGCTTTTATTGCAAAATACAGCTATACCGGTATATTTATTCCCTCTTTTTGAATTTCCGTTTTTATCTTAATTCATTTCCTATACCAATTAAATCGCACTCATTTTAAAAAAAAAGTATTTCATAACAATAGCTACAAAATGTTCAACCATGAATAACTAAATTTATAGCCTTTTCGAATGGTTTTGGGGATTTTGGGATGTATAAATACATATCCAGGTTTTGTTTTTTTTTGCTATTTAGAGATTGCTTTATCTATATATAACATGATACATATTTATTATAAGGTTAAATCCTAACGATCCTACTGCCTATCGATACTTTTTTTTTTTTTTGGCATTGCACAAGTTATGTCTTCTTTGACTGTCCATGGCGTCAAAAACACTAAATCCCTGGGATGTGTTTTAATTGATTTTAATCTCTGATGCATGATTTTTTATTATTAATTGTTTTTGGCTTTTAACTAGCTTTCAGTAACTGCCAGTACACTCAAACCATACCTTCGTGGTAATTTGACCTGTCGACATAATTTGTAATGCATTTCTGTAATTCAATGTTTACTTATCTTGTGTTATATCTCGTCTCACTATTTTTAATATTTACCACCTTTGATAAGTATTTAGTATGACGATACATTTTCGCTTCTGTACTCGTACTGTGAACAACATATTTCTTAATTTTGTAAAAAGTGTTTACTTCCGTACTCCTAACAACACAATTATTATATCTAAATTTACCTGTGTACGTTGTTTTATTTAACGCCATTTTGTCCCAGGTTAGAGTTGTCTTTTTGACATTGTTCCTACATCTTTTTTTATTAATATTGTGTTTATATTGTGTCATAGATCAAACTTATTCGTTCAGTGTATGTTTACTTGTTTTTGTTTAAATGTCTTTTTGATCCAGTAAAGCCATCTCAATTGATATTTTATAGTGTGTCTTTTTTTTTTGTTGTTGTAATGTTACACTACTGTCTCAGTTTAGGGTGAAGGTTGGCGCCTGTTGAAACGTTTAAACCCGCTGCATTTTAATGCACCTGTCCTAAGTCAAGAGCCTGTTGTTCAGTGGTTGTCGTTTGTTGGTGTGGTTCATAAGTGTTTCTCGTTTCTCATATAGATTAGACCGTTGGTTTTCCTATTTGAATTGATTTACACTAGTCAACATTGGGTCCTTTATAGCTTGTTGTTCGGTGTGAGCCAAGGCTCCGTGTTGAAGGCCGTACTTTGACCTATAATTGTTAACTTTTTATACATTGTGACTTGAATGGAGAGTTGTCTCATTGGCACTCATACCACATCTTCTTATTTATATATAATTATGAAGGTATGGATGATTGATTGAATGATTGATTGATTGATTGATTGATTGGTGCTTAGCGCCACTTTCAGCACTATCGTGCTATTTCGTGGCGGTCAGTTTTTATTAGTGGAGGAAGCGGGAGTGCCCGGAGAGAACCACCGACCTTCGGTAGAAAAATTAACAATTCTACTAAGATTTGAGTCGAGCGTACCTGCCAAGTGCGGGATTCGAACTCACAACCTAAGAGTTGACAGGCTAGTGATACAGTAGTTCGACTACTTAGACCACTTGGCCTACGATGCCCCCAGTATGAATGAAAGAAGATATGGGATGAACTTCAATTTGGTGCATTACATTTGCACGCAGCTTTTAATTACGTTTTCGCGCATTTATTTTAAGGCTTCAACTAGACAGTAACCCATAAAAGGTTTCGTGAGAAGCCGCTAATATACTAGTATACACCTCCAGACTAGAGACATCGAACTGTTAACAGGGCTAAGGTCCGACCACTTATCTTTTTCTGTTTTTTTTTTGGGGGGGGGGGGGGGGGGGGGGTGGGAGGGGCGGTGCATGTTTTTTTTTTAATGTTTGATTCCAATTTTTTTTAAAAAGACCTTACTTATTTCAGAGGGAAGCAAACAAAATAGTTTGTTTTCATTAAAATGTATATCTTTCCTCTTTAGAGATAGTTTCTTTTAACATGTCTATAAGAAGTTGATACACAAATTTCAGGTGTGTTAAATTTTTTTGTACTTCTTGCTGATCATCTTAGCTGTTCAAGTTTCTCCATATATCACTTTTCTCAAGATATTAGTAAAAAAAAGACGCAAAAATGGAAAAAAAAATCAGACATTGGAAGGGTAATAACTCAGGTAAGGGATCGATCATTTATAACCTGAAAAAAGGGGGATAGAAGAAAATGGTGGGACCCTTGAAAAAAAATTGCAGCCGTATAATGGTATGGCGTCGTCGTCGTGGTCGTCGTATTCGTCTGAAGATATTTGGTTTCCAGACAATAACTTGAGTGAAAGTGTATGGATCTCTATCAAATTGTACCACAGGGTTCATTACCACAAAAAAAATTTAGGTGGATTTTGGGGGTTATTGTCTTACTCGATTAGGAATTACGGGCCAAAAAGGGACCAAAAACAACCTTTTTTCTTGTTTTATTTAGATATTTATATTTAGATTTTGAATTGCGTGCCCCGTTTTTAAATTGCTCCACGTTAAGGTTCAAAGGGTCCAAGATTAATTTCACCAAAAATTGAATTATTGAGGTTCTTTGATATGGCGAATCTAATCGTGTATTTAGATTTTTAATTTTAAGATGAGACCATAATCGACATATCCAAATAACGTTCCCTGAAATCGCAAACAACTTCCACAGTTCTAGATCCACTACTGACGCAATATTTTATACTTATAATAGAAATAGAAATTGTATGCATTTTTTTTTTTTATAACGAAGAAAGATGTTGAGAAATGTGTGTGTGTGTGTGGAAGGGGGGTGGGGAGGGTTTAAAATTATTTGTCTTTGGGAAAGGGTGCGGGGATTTGAAATTTATTTTCCTTCTTCAAGGTGGGGACTTCAAATAATACGAGAAATTCCAATGTTTCCTCCAAGGTCCCCACAACGATATAAAAAAAACAGGTCCCTGAGTGGTTGATTTATAATTTCAGTCATGTTTAATTCTCTATTTGTAAATCTGTTCTTTCATGCCTACCATTTTGCAAGCAAAGGTTTCTCTATAAATTAGTTATCAAGATAATAGGCACTAAAACAACAAAACCCATAAGAGCCCAAATTGCCCAATTGGGACCTTTACTATAGAGCATATATATTCAAACTGTTTTCATTTCACCCATTTCTTTCTTAAATCTATTGTAAATTTCAAGATAAACGCATAAAAATTAAAAGCCTCCGCCGCAAACTGAATCTCCCCGAACTGTACCTTTATCGAAAAAAAAACTATTTCAAGGGTTCAAAATTATGGTATGCTTGGAGGGACAAATATCAACAAAACATGTATAAATGTATTAAAATTCATAATAAGATACTCTAGTCTTTAACCAAAATGAATATGAATAGCTAGGGCTAATTATTTAGGCATTGCTGTAGATCGTGTATTGCTCACCATTTCAACCGTAAATCTCATGATTGAGCATACATATCAATGGTTAAAGATAATATATGTGAGTCAAGTTTGGCATTTTTAACATGTCTTTACATAAATCATTTTCAAAATTTGTTAATTGGTTAATCTTTCACAAGCTATAAATCCCTGATGTGAACTGGCTGTGACATGAATGGTTATATTGAGTTACATGGTAATGTTAAAACGTAAAAGATATTTAAATAATAATTTGTATAACTCCTGGTCATAGTGTATTGTGGCTTTAATAGGGAGAAAGCTTTTCAAAAGTTCTGTAAGGTAATTGCACAGATGTAAATTAGTTTGTGAAGAAATGTTCACTTAGTGTTTTTTTTTTTTTTTTTTTTCTTCTGTTGAATCATATTGCATTATTTTCGCAGATAAATATTAATGAAGTCAATTAAGCTCATGAACAGTAGCGTTATTACCTTATTTATTCAATTCAATGTGGCATTTTGAATACAAACGCAAGGGTTATTTTAATATACTACTTTGCATAAAATTGTATATTCCGTCTTTTATTTTTAATTTGAAATAGCTGTAAAAGAACCTTTGTGAAAACAAAATATTATAATATTTACAAATATAAATGACAAAACTTATAAAAAAATAAAAGAGTAAATTAATATTAATATTAATAGAAAAAAAAAATCTTTTTTATAAGTTAAGGAGCCCATTAAATGCCATGTAGATATGAATATTTTCGTTTGCTGGATATGTAATCTGGTGCGCTCCCGTTTGAAAAATCGTGCGCATGACTTCCAAAATCGTAAGCAAAACTTTTAAACTCGTGTGCACGACATTTTAAAACTGGTGAGCAGGACATTCAAAAACTGGTGCGCACGACTTTAAAAACTCGTACGTTCACACGACTTTCATACTCATGCGCACGACTTTCAGAAATGTTGCTTTACACGACATTTAAAAACTGGTTCGCACAAGTTTCAAACACTGGTGCCCACGACTTTCAAAAACTGTTGAGCACGACTTTCAAAAACTGGTGCGCACGACTTTTAAATTCTTGCGTAAGAATTTCAAACTCGTGTGCATGACATTCAAAGTGGTGCGCACGACATAAGACAAAGTTTGACGAAATCTACACGAACGTACGCACGAGTTTGAAAAGCATGCGCACGAGTTTTAAAGTCTTGAGCACTATTTTTCAAAGTCGTGCTCACGTTTATCCAACTCGGGAGGACGTTCGTATAAATTTCGTCAACCTTTATTTTAAAGTCGTGTGCATCCGTTTGAAAGTTGTGCATTCGAGTTTGAAAGTCGAGCGCATGAGTTTCATAGTCGTACACACGATTTTAAAAACTGGTTTGCACCAGATTAAATCTCCAGCAAACGAAAATGATTATATTTACATGGCACTTAAGAGGCTCCGTAATAAGTTTACTATGTTTTAACACAAGAAAGACATGTTGTCATTGTTAAGATACCAGAATATTAATTCTGCAGCGAGAAACATCGCTTTTATTGTAGTTCCTCATCTACAAATTACAATGAGGCTTTCAACAAGGAGCAACAACTCTCGTTTTACTGTCAGTTTAAGACGGCCTCTATCACCGTTTTGAGCGAAATTATTTGCAAACTGTCGATCACGCTACAATTGTAATTGAAGAGCAAAAATCTGGCAAAGACATCAAACCTTTACTGTCATAAATTAGCTCGACAATAATACTGAACAAACATTTAGACACACACGGGGCACATCGATATATATGTTAGATAATTTGGTTGGAAATAACAAATGTAAAGTGCAATTAATTCGGGTAGACATTGAAAGATGTTACACCACCAACTCGGGCCCGATTAAAAAGAACATACCGGAAGGTACTACATATTCAAAACTATATACTTTCTACGCATAGGTGTAAATACCAAACTTCGAAGAATACATATTGGTAATTAAGGTACAACATATAAGGTGAAGGACAGGTGATCCTTGTAGAACATATTTTGGCTGATAATTTTGAATAAAAAAAAATATTAGAATGAAATCTAAGAAAGAAGGCATGTACTGCCTGTTACTCAGATAGGAAGTACCTGTTTTAGTATATCCAAAGTTCCGGTAACCAGTACGAAAATTAAAAACGGAAAGTCATTTATCAAATGACAAAATCAAAAGCTCAAACACATGAAACGAATGAAAAACAACTCTCATATTCCTGATTTGGTACAGGCATTTCCTTATATAGAAAATAGTAGATTAAACCTGGTTTTAAAGCTAGCTAAACCTCTCACTTGTATGACAGTCGCATAGACTTCCATTATATTGACAAGAATGTGTGGGCAAAACAAACAGATATAATAGGTACAAATGTCAAAAATAGGGGAACAGCAGTCAACATTGTGTTATAATCTTAATTACTATAGAACAAATAACTATTTCTACAAGGAAAAACAAAATGGACACTCTATAGTTAAGTACATAAACAAAAAAGAAAGAAAAGAATACAAAAATGTCCATAGCAGCACACTAACTCAATAGATATAAGAAGATGTGGCATGAGTGCAAATGAGACAACTCTCCATCCAAGTCAAAATTTATAAAAGTAAACTGTTATAGGTCAAAGTACGGTCTTCAACACGGAGCCTTGGCTCACACCGAACAGCAAGCTATAAAGGGCCCCAAAAGTTACAAGTGTAAAACCATTCAAACGAGAAAACCAACGGTTTAATCTATATAAAAAACGAGAAAAGAGAAACACTTATGAATGGCGGGATGTATAAATACCGAGAAAAGCCAAAAGTATATTACTTAAAATGGACTAAACGGTAAAGGTTGAAAATATACAAAGACAAATGAAAAGAACACTATAACACGTAATGGTGGCAAGAATAGGTTGTGTGCTTCTTATTAAAATATTCGAACACAAACTGGTCTGAAAATGAGAAAATGATGTATCACACATACAAGAGGTTACCTCAAGAATAAATACGCCACAACTTAAAAAGACAACATGAGAGCACAAACCTCAAACACACAGAAACTTTATACATGTACGGCCTCCACACAGCGCGAGAGTCAATTTCCGTTAATACCATAGAAAAAAATTCTTTTTAACAAAACATCTGACTCGTGCATCGATTGAATCATATTTATTTTAAAAGTGTATCTTCGGCCTAAAATGAATTTTAGTGCCATAATCATAGTTGACATAAAATATCGTTGGTGATATAGGCACAAGTTTACCATCAACTTTTGACTAAATGGTTAGAGAGAAAACTTATTATTTATAAAACAATGATTAAATTTTTTATTATTGACTTATTGAAAAGGATAATAGCCAGTACTATTGTGGTCTAACGATCCAAAACCATAAAACAAGATTAAAGTTCTGTTAGAAATTACTCCATATTGTATCAAGATGACCAGATAGTTTAATCATTCATGCAACAAACTAAATTTGAATTGTACAGATCTTTCACAGTATTTTTTCATTGTTATTTGACGCCAGATAACTAACTAAGATACATGAGACGATCTTATTTCTTCTACGACTTTGTCCCGTGTAGCATTGTAGGTAGAGCTATAGAAAATTACACGGACAACTTTCATGAACAGAATCACTCGTGCATTCAGTGGAGACATATGCGCTCAATCGCATAACTTGTTTTTATAAATATAATTTACATGAAAATTTTCATAAAAATTATAATAAAAAAAGAGCTAATTATGTCCCAAACTGCTAATTTAATAATTTTAAATAATGTGACTACGAATTTATTAGTTTTAACCATAAAAAGTTTCAAAGTCTCCACTTCAAATGAGGTATGCCCCATTTTGGACAATCAGCATTGGGATGGTTAATATAATCCTATTGTGTTACTTGATCATTCCGTGGGTCTACCCGAATATCACATTACTATAATGAACACTTAAATATTCTTATATATCTAATATATGTGGATCTATGAATTTTAATTTAAATCCATTATTGTTTTTTGCATGTCGTAGCCAAAGAAAAATAGATTTTTTTATTTAAATATTTTTTTTTTGGCCTTGGACCTTGCCCTAACTACACCTGCAGACAAAAAACCTATACGACAGTGTTTGTTACCATGCAGCCAATTTTGTTGTCATTTTTGTTTTGTATCTTGCACATAAAGGATCTCTTTACTTTACTTAGTGTACACCAAATTTAATAACCCGGTTAGGTCTTTAAGTTGAGGTTCCACTTACTAATAGTTTATCCGACATGACTCATTTGACACGCCCCCTTAGAATCAATGGTCTAAAAGAGGATCGGGAAAAAATTGGCATGCAAAATACCATCCTACTTACGAATTAAAGTAAATTGGTTTTGATCTTCTCGAGTTGATAAACAGACGGTATATATAATGGTGGAAATTCAAACCTGTCCAAATCCAGAAAAGTTTTGTTTTGTTTACAAAACTACGATCAATATCACAAAAAGTCTTAAGAGAAAAAAAACTCGTAAGTCATGAACATTTAAGTATAACTTACTTATGGTAAGATTTTTTGTGAAATGAGCCCTTGGACTTTAAGGTAACAATCAATCAGCTTTATTTAGTAACTTCTATAGTAGGGGTTCCAAGTACATAGGTCAGTTTTCCTATCGAAGGTCGGTGGTTTTCTTCGGGCACTCCGGCTTCCTCCACCAATAAAAACTGGCCGCCACGAAATAGCCCAAAAGCGGTGCTTAAAAGTGGCGTTAAAACACCAAAAATCAAAATCAATCACCTCAAACAATTACATAAAATATGGAATAATACAAAGAACAATATTTGTAAATTAAAATTAAAACGATCGCTTTGGTTTAATATGAAATTAAAGATTCCGAATGAATATTTCATACAACTCAATAACACGGGGAGTTGTTTCATATTTTCTATTATACAAATGCTATATATATATATATATATATACATGTATATAATGAAATGTGGAAGAGCGACCAGCGACAGAAAATGAGTTTATTTATCATATCAGGTATTTGAAATCATTATTCGTGGAATGAATTGCATGTTTTATGAATATTTATAATTTCTTTTTGTATTGTTTTCTCCTGTAGCAATAAGATCTTCAATGACATTCAATTTTGCATTTCTTTCTGTTGGATAAACGTAACTTTTAGCTTCTCCTTATCCATGTTTTTTGGTTACATTTTAATTGATTTAGATAACGTTGTCTAAAATAGGGGTTACAGTGTAATCTACCAATGCAATCTATAGCTAGAGGACGGGAAATAGAACCGAATGATATCTTCATTGGGGGCAATAATTATTGAATATATTGAAGCCATCCGTAA